TAATAACAATTATCAATTATTATATATCTATTTTTAACTATTAACTTCATCTAAATTACTAATTCAAACACCCTTAAATTTATTTTAAAAATGACAATTATTTAAGAAATAAGGAGTATTATATAGCATTGACTAACTTCTTTCAGACAATTTTCTCTGTAATTAATATATTCCGGTGACACGATTGGACTTTGGTTTTTGAAACCTCACTCCGCAAGAGCCAAACGGGCGTATGGCCCTTATAGCTTGAATTGATCCTCTCTGCATCAAGGAAACAGAGTGATGCTGAAATGCGGTAATCCAAATTTAATTTCTACATTAGATTCATGCTATAAAATGGAGCAAATAACTCAGGTTCTAAATGGAGAAGTTGGATTAGTTTGAACATAGATGCGGTGTTTGACCTTTGAAGTATGGACCATTTAATGCTCTCAATGCTGAAGGCCTTTTTGGATTTTTTTTTTATTTTTTTATACATCAAAAAAATTAGCTAATTAGCATTTTAAGAACATTGATATCAAATCACAAATTTTAAATTAATAAATATTAATCTGATTAAACTCTTATTAGTTGGACTTGAAATGGTTTTGACCATGAATTTGAGGCTGAAACTGTTTTCCTAACCAGGATTTGGGAGAGGGACCAAAGCTGTTGTGGTGGTTCACTGCCGCACTCACTGTCCACCCTGCCTTCTGCAATGAGAAATGGAGCGCCATGAGCGTATTTATGTGGTTGCTTTTGGCTTTTCTACTCTCAATCTCATTTATGGTGCCTTGAAAATTTTGCTTAACTTGCCGCTAGGAAACAAAGCAAAGCTTCGTCCTTGTTCGTTTATGATTGTGACCTCCCCGACAGAGTTTACAGCCCTCTGTTTTTGAAATTTCCTAGTTCAAATATTCAACTCAAAGTGGTACCCTACTTGTGTTGTCTCTTGTGCTTTGGTATATCTATCCAAATTCCAAAATACTACCATAATCCAATGCTACATCCTACAGATATACACCATTCAAAATACAGAATCAATGCCACAAATATTAGACATTAACTTGCCAGCCTTTCGCCATAGGCGTTGATAATTTTCTGGATGTACAATGTTTACAACTATAAGTTACAAGAATGAGATAGATATCTAAAATGTTGATTGTAGTCATTTTTAAATTGGTATGTCTAAAACGAAAAACAGCATTCTTAGAAGAGTAAAGTTTTTCGTTTTTCCTTTTCAACATGAGAGAATTACAAGAAATGGAGAATTTTTTCAAATAATGGATGAGAATCAAATTTTCAACCAATTAAATTTAAATATTAAGGTTTGGAAACAAATTATTGAGTTTGAAAGTTTGATTTAAAGTAAAATTTTTTTTAGTACTGGCTGCACATAAAATTTAACATAAAAAGGAGTTTTATTAAAGTATTTTAATAATTTAAATACTCAAATTATATATTTTTTAATGTAATTTCTACTTAAAGAACTTTTTGGTCTTAAAATTCAAACAAGGTCTAAAATGAGAAACATTATTCTCAAAAACAACATCACAGTCATTTTCAATTTTCTATGTCCAAACTGAAAATCAATATTTTCTAGAACAACATTTATAAAAAAAAATTAGAAGACCCATCGACTTTGTTGGGCATGTTCCATTTTCAAAGACAAGAGGCACAATTTAGACGGAAAAAATTGTACGCCAGACATGATGGCCATGCAATACTTTAATTTTCAACTTCCAAAGAATCAGGCCAAACATATCATTTGATATTTGAACAGGCAATCTAGACTAGAGATTAGAGATGCACCGAATGGACCTGAAAAACAAAAACTTCAAACCTTAATAGTACGGACATGATTTTTTTCCCGTTAAAAAAATGTTAATATTATCAAAATTTAAATAAAAAAATATTTTATATTAATTAATCAATATTATTTATTTATT